TTAGCCAACCGCATCGCGGGTTTTAATCATTACTTTTTATTCACTTGGCATGCTTAGTAATGATGCATTTTCCGTTATTTAGAATGATTTGGAAAAAGAATTGTACATACGTACTTACAATCAAAATATAACAATAACACGATTTTTTACAATATTTTTTTCTCATGGCACTATAGTTGTATCGGGATTGCAATACAAAGATGGATATTGCAATATCAAGTTACTTTAAAAGTATCGGTAAGAAAATCACCAGATATAAAACTCATACGTACTATAAATAATAGTGGCTTGGTTATTATAGTATGACACAATGTATTGCTCAATCGTTTGAGCTATAAGCTAATAGTGAACTGATTATTATTCAATCATTAGGTCATAAATCTCAAGTAATTTTTGTTTATATTATACTGTGGGTAAAAAAAAAAAAAATGAAAACATTTACACATTACAGCATTATTGTGTATCATCAAAAATAAAAAATTAAAAAAATAAAAAAATAAAAAATCCGGGGTTAGTTTGCTTGAGTTACATAGATTAAACTTTAAAAAGATGACATTCAAGAAAAAAAATTATCGTTGTTACAATCAAAATCTGATAACGATAATTTCCAATTAAATGGGTACTAATCTGATAATTTTCATTTTAATAATACATAATACCAAATAAGTAAATTTATAATAACGAACAATTGTAATACATTGTTAATTGTTAAAAAAATACTAGTATAAAAATCATGCTATTAACCAATCAAAATGCATAAATTGTACAAATGTTTGATATACACCGGTAAACTAAAAACAAATTTTCATAACAGATAACCTGATTTTTTTAACGTTAACTGTTAATATACGTAATACATACGTACTATACGTACGTACAAGCAATTGTAATTTTCATAACCTGATTTTTGTTTCCATAATTTGGCAAAACTGATTTTTGTTTCCATAATTTGGCAAAACATTGAATACAAATTAAAAATAATGCCGATACTAGAATGTAACGGTAAGACGGATATAATTTTTAGTTTACATATTAGTAAATGAATGTAAGTTTGATTCGTTGAAATTTAATTTGAATGCTATCACAAATTAGAATTCGGGGCATATGCAAGGTACGAGCATCTTTAATCAAAAGAAGGGGTCATTAAAACCTAAATAGACAAAAAAATTACAGGATTTAAAGTTTGCAGATCTGAAAAGAAGGTTTGGTATCAAAAACCCATATTGGTAAGAAGTGCAGAGTTACGCTTAATGATAAGGATTTGAATAGGAATTGAATGGCGTCAGGAGAAATTTCTCCAAACTTTTCCATAACTGTATGCTATAGATGCTACGGTGGCCATACGGAATTGGAGATACCTCGTGTAGCATTTCCTACAAAGTTTCGGTGAACACACGTATATAGAACCGAATGAAATACTACATAAGGATATTCTTAGCCAACCGCATCGCGGGTTTTAATCATTACTTTTTATTCACTTGGCATGCTTAGTAATGATGCATTTTCCGTTAATGGATCATTATTGTTCCTACGTACGTATGCTAATCATCATCAATGCAATTTCTTTATCAATTTCTTTCTTAAATAAGTACGTACGTAGTACGATTTTATTATTAACACACTTAATATTACAAAGTTATTAAGTGCTTTCTTTTTTTTGTTAATTAACATTGTTTTGTTTTTTATCTTCTAGAAAATTTTATATAAATAATTTTTGTTTTTTGTAGAATCCGCAGAAATAAGAAAAATTCTTAAACACATGATAAAAATAAAAATGAAAAAAAATTTTTTTTATACTTGAATGATATGAAAAAGAAAAATATATAGAAAGTTTTTTTTTTTTTCTTCGAATAAAATCATATTTAACAAGCGACTTAATTTAAAAATCCAGAATTTAAATTGATTGTCGCATTTTTTTTTTTTAAGGAAAAAATTTTTAGAGAAAACTTAATGGAGGAAATATATTTTTTGAATCCTAATAATGGTTGATTTTTGATTTTGATATCGATGGAAAAAGTATGATGGTTTATAATACAAGAGGTGAAGTTATCTCAATCGATGATTAGAATGTTGATCAAAAAGCCCATTTAAAATTTTAGAATGTTGACCAAGCCCAATTTTCGGGGACTATATAGTTGTGAGCTGGTTGGTTGCAACCTGGAAAAAAAATAAATAAAATAAAATAAATAAATAGATTATTAGTCTAATAGTCAATAAATGAAGTCAATTTGACGTAATAATAATTTGAATTAAAGAATTTACCTAGTGGTTGTCGGAATGAACTTATGTCGTGAGAGTCTATTGAATGTGTTACGTAAAACGATCGTTAATAAATTGCATCGTTGAAAATAAGGTTGTCATACGTAATTCACATAAATGATACTAACTTTCTCTCAAAATTTCATTATCGGGATATTTTGCATTACTAGATTTATCAGTGCCGTAGCTATTATCGGACATGGTATTATAGCCGCTATCTTGATATTCCCTTGAGTCTTCTTCTTCTTGCTCCCTTAAATATCTCAATACGAAAGGTTCAGGGTGTTTATATCTTAGACGAATATAGTCATCGTAACACCTATCGCAGACTCTGTAAAATAAAAATAACGTTAACATAAGTTTTTATTAAATTTATTAAATTAAAAAAAAATCTTTACGAGCCTTACCTTGAAGCGAAGCCGGACAGATTAAATTTGTTATCTTGGTCGAGGCGAATGTAATGTGAACAATGAAAGCCACAAAATATGTCACCGCATCTAATTATTAAATAATTATTAAATAATTATAAAAAATTAATAAATTTTACAAACATAATAACTACAAAAAGGCAAAAACAAATAAATTACTTTACATACCTTCTACAATGGTGTCGCCTCTCAAATAGGTTAAAAACGCGGTTACAATAAGACAATGAGCATTTTTTTGCTTCAGAGTCAGCCTAAAGAATAAAAAAGACAAGTTCAGATTTAAAAAATATTTAAAGAAAGTAAAAAGAATAATAAACGAAAAATACAAACCTTCCAATGAGTTTTCGAAGGCGGACCAGCTGCTTGTCCATAGAAGAGTATTGCGGCGTCTTCATAGTATTGGTCGTCACCGTGCAATACCTCTCGCTGTTGTCCGGGAGCGTAAAAATGATTTCCCATAGTTGGGTATATAGGGCGTGTTGAACGTACGAAGGTTTGAACGTCCATTCAAGACTTACAAGTTGGCCAAATATGCGAGTTAATAAATTGACCGTATTTATAAAGGAAATGTTTGTAGTACGTATTTTTTAACGCGAATAAAAATGATAATTACAAATAGAATAATAAATTGATTTTTTTTAGATGAGATGGTCAGAACCTCAAGCTTTTAAAGCTTATTTAACGCAGTAAGTCAATTAAATAACAAAAATGACAAATTCGACGAATCACAAAATTTTATCAAGTTTCATCAGTATTTTTTTATTAATCAGATCTAAATAAGGGACTTACATTCGGCTCTAATCTAATATGCAGTGTACTGTTTAGCCAGGCTTAAGTAATTGAGTAATTGTTGATCATCGACTACTTTAAGTATACTAAACAAAAGAAAAAGGTCGTTCGTGAAATATCGCGAGAAAAATATTCGCTGCGGAAGAAATGTTGGCTGTTTAATTGTTTTGAATCTAACGATATTTAATGATATCGTTATTAAAAATTCGTTAAAGAAATCACAAAAGAATGTAACACTACACTAACACTACACTAACACTACATTAATACAACCCTAATATTACTAATATTCTACCCTAATATTACTAATATTCTACCCCAATAATACACTAACCCTAATGCACTTAATACTCCCTAATACCATTTAAACCATTTAAACCATTTAAACCATTTAATAAAATTTTAACACTACCCCAATAACACCCTAATTCCACCCTAATAGGACCCTAATACCATTTAAATAAGTATTACCCGTAAGTTGATTCATTTATCCAAATTCGGAAAACTGTTAGCCTAATAACGATGTCCATAAACCAAATCTTTATATTCTATCGGACAAAAATTCCCATAGCTGCACTTCGCCACGAATGATGTCAATTAATAAAAACAAGACTCATGGCGTTGATCTAAAAAGATTTCCACATTGCATCGCTTTATCAAAGTTATTGAATATGTCTCTAAATAAGTCTTAATATGCAAATTGTTATAACAAATCATTATAGTACGTAATTTTGATAAGATCCTTAGACATAATCGATAACGATATGTCTCAAATTATAATATTTTTCCACGCGTTAATATGTAATGATACTTATTATTTTGCGTAGTATTGTTTGAATATAGTATTGATTAACCAAATGATACTATTTTTAAATATTCTAGATAAAATACTCTAGATAAAAAATTATATACCCTTTTTTTTGCAGGTTTGCAGGCTGAGAATTTGCAACGTAGGAGATAATAATGCATGGCTTTTTCGAGAGAGAAGAGTTTTTTTGTATTTTTTGTACGCATTTTTTTTCAGTTTGTACAAATAGAAAATTTGTAACGGTAACGATAACGGTAGGAGCCTGCAATATTTCTTTTTTCTTCATTTTTATTGGAATTATTACTACAATTCAGGCTTAATATGGATTTTGTTACACTTATTTTATGTAAATACTTTACTGAATTTAGCATCGTACTCGGCCCAAGATCATTTTAAGAAAAAAATTACCTGGGAATTTTTATGAGAAATATATCTTGATATAAATATTTACAAAGAGATTTCTTTGTTATCATTGACACAATAATTAGATATAGCGGAATGAAACTGGTTGATTCCTCGAGTTTTGTTTCAATTCTATCTTATTCTAATTTATCTATTCACTCTAATTTATCTATTTATTCTAATTTATCTATTCATTCTAATTTATCTATTTATTCTAATTTATCTATTCATTCTAATTTATCTATTCATTCTAATTTATTTGTTTAACTCTTTATATTTTTCTTTACACCCTCTTTATTTCCTTATATTGTATTCACAATCATCTTACATCCATCTTACATCCATCTCACATCCTTTACTTTATATTCTCTTTAGAATTCCCTCTTATCTAAATGCGATACGATTTATATATCACGCCTCATGCTGCTCGACCAATTTGGGTTATCTGCCGGGTGAGATTATATTAACTCGATTTGGGATGTGTTCATGTTTTATTTTGAAAATAAAAATTTTTTGAAGATCCTGGGTTTTTGATCTACTCTGGATAATTACTCTGGATAATTAATGTAATACTTAAACAATTTGTGTAAATAATATTATCTTTATCTTTGGTTACAAGATTTTGGTCAATTGCTATAATTGTTTTATCTATCATATGCTGTAACGGTAATTGATTGTTTTAAAAATTTTTTTTAATAATTGACTCTTATGGAACTTTCAAATTTAGTTATGTTGTTATCTCTACTATCTTTGGTTCTACTATCTTTGGTGTTAGAGATAGCTGCTCTCTTCTATCTAAATGATGTTTCACTTTAACGAATGCGAGTTTCGATGGTTCTGGATTGGATCTCCTATCTTGCGTATTTCTTTACTTTTTCGTTTTCTTCATTTCTCATTTCATCCTTCGTTGTAACATTAATTGATGATTACCCGCATGATTCCCTAAACTGTATTACAACGTGGTGCAAATCATTCAGTAACGTCTAATACACAAGACGATACTTATACTTATTTTGGGGGGATCGCTAAAGTGGGGTCTAATTCCCAATTCACTTAATTAATTAAGGTCTTTGTTTGATCTTGTGTTATATGTAAAATTGTTTCTTTATTTGTTTTTTGTTAGTGATTCGGGGTAGGTTTTGACTACGATTCCTTACTTCTTTTTTCTTTTCTCTATCAAATTTTTCGCGATTTTGATCGTTATACACAGCAATATCTGTCAACTCTTGTCGATCAACATATGAATCTACCCCGCTTTAGCGTTTCCCTATTTTGGGGAATCGCGCTGTTATCTTCAAAGAGTTGCAACTCCTCTGACGAATATGTATAGATTCGCGTACGTATGTACGCAATTTGGTTGATCTTGTCTAGAACTACCTATCATTATCCAATACGTACGTGCATTACTCACGTAATTTTTATAAATTTATAATTCATAACTATAATCATCCATTGAAAAGTTGCAGTAGGTAATTCGCACCATATTATACTCTGCCGATTCTTTTGTTTTACTAATTATGATATTTATTATGATATCATACATAATTCGTTCTCATAATTCATTCTCATTATATACATTATGAATATTACCTAATTCTCATACCTGGTGAATTTTCCATTCACTATTAATTTTTAAGCTGCACATTATAATTTTACTTTTTTTTTTTTTTTTTTTTTATCACTAAGAACATTAAAATGTTTATAAGAACATAAAATTATCAATTTATGTTCTCAAAGAACAAAAAAAAAATTTCAGATATTTAACACTGATCGCTACTATAGATGTTTTTTGTATTTCTGATATTTCAAAGTTTTTCAAAATTTTTTTAGGTTTTATTTTCATTTTTGTTACTTTTCTGATTTTTTCAACCCATTTTTTTTGAATTGCTTCGCATTTATATTTTCACAAATCTTTGTATTTTTATTTTTCGCAATATTCCATGAGGATCATCATAACTTTTTCGAAGGTTTACCT